ATGTAATACGATAAAAAAAAATTGAAATGCCTTGCCCTCAAGGAGTTTTCATTCCAACCAGAAAAGCAAACATGCATTCCAGCCACTAAATCAGTATAAATGTGTTTTATTAGATTTTATGTAATGTGTTTTAGGTGGAAATACATAAAAGATACAAATTCATATTAACATTAGCTTTTCAAAGACTACTGTTTATAGAAACAGTATATATAGAAATATTTTTCATCTTATTCCTATGAATGAGTTTAGACGTCTTAATGACAATTTTTTTTAATACCAGGGGGAAAATAAATACCGATCTCTGCTTTTTTCTGCAAATGATTAGAAAATTGGAAATGTTTCTTGAAAATTAGCTCAAATGGGTTTCATCAACAAACTTTCTATCTGTTCTTATAGTAGAGCAATTTTTTAGCATGCTTTGAAGAGAGTTGATTAGTACAGCTTTCTTCACAGAGGTTTTTGGTATTGCAAAGCATGTTACTGAAGTTAATTGGAAACCCACAGGGCTAGAAGGCAGTTATGTGTAACCTGAAAATATGTATTTGTGAAACCTGAAAGGAGCTCCTAATAAGGGATTGAAGAGTCATGGTGTATAGAGATAAGTGGCACCCAGATGACTCAAGGAGGCTTAGTCAGCCATTACAAAGCACTAGAGGATGTTTTTAGAGAAAAGGAAGAAAGGAAAATCACTCAGGAGAAAAGACCAGAGAAGGAGCAAAATAGTTGACAGAGGTGCCATGGAGCTCTTGATTCAGAATATCTGGGATGTGCTAAAGCAGGATCAAAAGGCCTTAATGCTGATTTGCTCAGAAAGCTTATAGCGAAGACCAAGGAACAAAAACACAGGGCAAAAATACAGTTCTATGAGCTTAGTGTACTACATGCGCTAGCTGGAGGGAGAGTCAGCTAAGTCCAAGACTGAGAAAGTGTGCTTTTGAGAGAATTCTTCCCATATTTTAAGTTTTAAAAATCTGGAGCCAAAGCTGAAACCTAATGCAAACACTCCTCATTGTACACTGTGTATCTGATGACACTTAGTGGCAGATATTATATTTCTGTTCCCACCTCTTTTAAGAAAGTATATAGCACTCAAATTTATTGTACATTAATTCACTTTTTCACACCAGGTATAGTTCTTATTAGAAAATAACATTAGAATCTCTACCCAGGTTTATAGAATTCACAAATTACCTACTGTGTACAGTTGGCTTCTGAACAGGTGTGACTCCCTGGAGTTCATGAGATTTTGAAGCTTCTCTGCAATTGTGTACTCATCACATTAATGCAGATGTTCTATGTCTCCCATCCCGAGAAATACAGTGCAGCAGAACAGCGTAAAAGATAGATACTATATAGCCTACCTAGCTATAGGAGTGTGGGCCGCAATCATGAGCAAAATTTGGGGCCATTTATCCTTTCCGTAAATCAACTATTTTTCCTCTTTGAGTTCCTGAAAGCATTAGCCACAGCGGATGTCCCCTCCATAGTTGACCATTCTTCTCCACTTTGTTTAGGTCATCTAAGAATCTACTCGGCTAGTCCTAATAAATGTGAACCATAGAAAAAGTGACCTCTCAAGTGCCTTGGAACATCTACTAACACCATGTGATATCCGAGATCCGTCACTTACCATGTCATTAACGTCTCCTTCCCCAGAGGTGATTGATAGTCTACAAGACTGACAGCTCTTGCAAAATGTAGAAACAAAGGAATCCTTGAATCTTCTCCAGCTGTGCTTTGTACCAGCATAGAAAATAGACAAATAGCACACCTCTTGGGGATGTAGCGGTAAGGCAGCCACCAATTCCAAGATCCCAGGGCATAGATTGTCTAACAGTAAAGAGAGAGTTGCTCTGGCACTTGTATGCACAGTGCTCCTCTGTGGTCACTAGCACCATGATGATTGAGGTTGTTTCCTTCTGATGGTTTGAGAATAACCCAATGAGTCACTGCTGTACTGGCTGCAGTCAATGTAGAGGTAGATTCCCTCAGGCACTCTACACTGGCATCTTCTTTCAGTCTCTACAGAGTTTCTGCAGCCCTCTGGGAGAGTTTGTGTAGAGTACTGCCTGCAGAGTAGATTGTAAACTGTAAGTCTCTGTTACATTAAACTTGAAATCCACCAGTATCCAAAGTATCCTATAACTAAAAGAACAGGAAATAAAAGGTCACCATAAATGCTCATCGGCAGATTAAATAGTACAGCCTAAAATTTCCAAATTGGTCCCACTTGGAGCACTGCTTGATGGATACAGCATTTTATGGCAAGAACAGAACACAAAGAAGAGTAGAAATAACTTATATTGGTTTATTCATCTTGTGAGTTTCTGACTTTCTGACTAATGTTAAAACTCTTCTGTTGACCAGTAGCTCTGTTCTCTGTGCCTTGCTCTTGCCCTGGGCAATACCACCCTACCCCCAGTAAATGCTCAGTGCAGGACAAGAGCTCTGGATGACAAACATGTCCTCTGCTTGTAGAATATAGCTACACCCTGTAGGTGATCTGTGAAAGATCAGACCCAACTGTCACCCTGTCCTTAAGAGCTTATCATCATCATGTCGTGCTTACTATTCTTTGCCACGCTGCTACCTCTGTGTGCCAGGCAACCCCTACCACACTCCATGCTCACCTGCTTCATTCTCCTCACTGCATTCCAGAGTCCCTTGAAGGTTCCTGCTTCTTATGTCTCTGTACCATCTACTCTCCATCTTCTTCAAAGTTAGGCTGCTTTTTAAGTACAGTTGTGTCATGAGAAGAAATATATGTCCCTATCATATGTGAATATGTGAATATAGGTGCATGAGAAAGCATAGAGGAGCATCTCTCAGCTATGAATAAAGACTACATCCAAAGGCAAAGTGCTGTTTTCCTTAACTCCTGCACCAGGAGTAGTGCTGGTTCATAGAAGTGCTAATTAAAAGTTTCGGTGATATATATTTATTCATTTTTAGTGTGCTAAGTAGTGGAAGAGTGATCACGTGGCATTCTCGAGGGCACAGTCAGGGTGATAAAAAATGGACTGCAAAACTCACTTTAGACTGAGAGTCTGTTTTTAAGTTTAGAAATGGAACAGAGTAGATGAGACCTGAGTTTAGGTCCAGGTTGCTATATTTGCCATTTGCCCAGGCTCTAATGAATGATATGACACTGGGCCAGTAACAGTTTCTGACCTTCATTTTTTTTTTTAACTGAAAATAATAATGTGACATATCACAAGGTGTCTTTGAAGGGAGTTAAGTTAAAAACCTTGGTATAATACCTGACATACAATAAGCAATATATAAATGTTTGCTGTGATCATTTGATTGATTCTTCTGCTCTATTTAAGAGACTGTGTTATTAATAATTCTGCTGTATTTGGGAGTGCTAATTAGTAAGACTATCACTTTTAGCTAGGATGAATGTGTATGAAGATAAACTTTTCCAACACATCACTACCCTTTGATCTAATTGGACTTATTAACAATGCATCTTCACCATTCACCAATTGCCTACTGTGCATATACCTGTAAGCTTCCTGTTGATGCTACTAGGTCTAGTGTTTAAAATTTCCCCTTGCCTCGCTATCTATTTTCAGAAAGTCTGTGTTAACAGAATTTCACTTCTCCTGAGTTTCAAGTGAATTCTTAACTTGCATCTTCTTGGCTAGGAACTTTGTGCAACAACCCTCAGCTCAATGATTGCTTTCCTCACATTGCCACCTAACTGACCTAGAATACTCTACACAAGACTTGCTGATGGGAAAGAACATGAAAAATATATAATGTCATGAGAATTCTTTTCTGATATTAGCTCTGTTTTTATTTCAGGAAGGTAACAGCATCGTTTGTCTTTCCAATCATAGAGGCTCCATTACTCGTGAGACCTATTATTTTCTCAAGAGTTATTCCAGTCTGTTTCCAGGCATCCATCACCACATCTTTGTGCCCTCTACTTTTAGTGCCACAATGCAAAGCTTTTATATTAAAAAAGATCTCCAGTGACAAACTGTTCATAAGAAATACTGGTCATAAATGTTAACAAACATTAATTTTTTCAGTATACTTCAGGTATTATCTCCATCAATGAGTGCGGCTAACAATTGCACCTTAAAATTTTTCTTCACTTTCCAAAACTTTCATTCCCTCTTTTCAAAAATAATCTCTGTGTTATAGTGATATTTGCTTTGCTCAGTCTCATTCGGTGTCTTATCTTCTGAGATAAAATGTAAGAACTTTCCGTCTATAATATTTTCCATCCTCGCTTTCAAGGTCTAGATGAAATATGCAATTTTTTTTTCTGAGAAACTAAATCTATCTTGGCTTGACCTATTTGATTTAAAATAATGCTAAGACTTGTGTTTTCATATGGCCCTCTCCTCAAAATGTAATCTTTGAAAAACTCAGAAAACTCTTTCCTTCCTCTCTCCCTGGAAGTTTCAATGACAAATTACTGCTTTCCTCTCTACCCAAACCTCAGCGTTGTATTTAGTGAATATTTCCAGGTAACTGAAAACTACACATATTTAATGTCTTATTGCTGAGCAGACATCTTTTCCTGGCCTAAAAGTCCACACACAGCCAGTTTTCACCCAACTAATTAAAAAAAAAAAGGAAAAAAAATATACACTTTCCCTTATTTTCTAAACTTAGAAAATATCTACTTGGGGGGGTACACATTTCTGTAATACATTAATCAAAGTCCTGTGGACAATGTCAGAAATAAACTGAAGTTACAGTCTTTTCCCTGGAAAAGTTTTATGGACACAATTCCTTTTAATAAAAAGCATACTGACCTTCTGTTAAAATGTTACAGGTTCCCATTTAGGACTTCTCTTTGGGTTCATACAAGATTTTAGAAATAGCTTTCTGATTGATAAATTAATGCCTCTAGAATATTCTACTAAACAGACTCTTCATTTTTTTAATTGTAATATTTCAAGAGTTCTTAGAAACCTTATTTAAATATTTGTTGTTTCAGTTAATATTTACATATATATCATTGATTTGTTTCAATCCAGGGACCTCCAGGAACACAAGGAGTACAGCAGACTCTAAATGGATATTATAACAAGGTATGGCTTCCTTCTCTACATGTCATATATGTACAGAGGTTTCATGTGATGGTATTTTTGAAAAACAATTAACATCAATTCCAGACCTCTCAGAGATTGAAACATGATCACATATACTTTGCACATTTTTATATTGAAATTGTTTTAAAGTAAAGGCATTTGTTTAGCATAAAACTATAATGGTGTGTTTATAGATTTAAAAAAGTATTGTTCCAACATTTGCAAAACTTTGCAAAAAACTAAAGCAAAAGACTGGTTTTATTTTGAATGATATCATTGATCTATTTACTCTGAGGGTTCCTTGAAGTTCTGAGAAACAAAATAGGTGGTAGATTTCTTATCAAACCCAATGGGTGCTGCACAAAAATCTCAGAGCCAGGTTTACATACATGAGATCAAAGCTGAAATTTCCCCTCCCGTAGGGAGTAGCCACTTTTAACTTCCTGTAGGTCTGTTTACAATTAGAAGGAATGGATTACTAACTGGAAGTAATCATGTCTCTGTGAGAAAGTAAGATAATTTTGCTCCCTATTCTGTAAGGAAACACACTATATCAAAAAGTGAATGGTGGCAACCAAGGAAGACTCACAGACCTGCATGACCAAGAGGGGCCCATCACTCAATAGCACACATTGGGGGTCTGATTGCTTTGTGTGAGGCATTCTGTCCACTGACTGGGCTCTTTCATATATGTGATAGCTTATCATTAATGCCCCACTGGTGACTGGTTTCACACTCCCTAGAAACAAATTTGGAAATAGTCCCCTTTATGTCCTTGCTCTGTGTTCTTGTTGCCCCTTCCTATAAATGCCTCTGACTACTGTTGTTTCTCTGTTTAGAAAACTCAGAGCAAAACCATATGTCAACAGAGTAGAGAGCATGTGCTCAGAAAAGAGTTTATTAATGAAAGACAGAAAATTTCTGGTTCATAAATTTAAAGTAAAAAGCATGAGAAGTTTCTTACACTTCCTAAGTACTCCTGTCTTAAAGTTTCTCATATACTTAGATTTTCCAGGGAGAATGATATTAAGAAGAATGTTTAGGGCATATTTTAATTCTTTATTGAAACTTTTTAAAGTAGATCTATTTTAGCTTTTTCAAAATATTAGGTCGTGGCACAAATGAAAAAGAAAAGAGAAAGCAAAGCATATCTAGAATTAATCAATTAAAACAGTACATTTCTGTGATGACATCTACTGTTACAAAATTGGATTTATCATAAATACTTCAAAATAATAAGAATGAGTTGGCGCTAATGTCAGTGTCAGCTAGAAAGTCACAAAAAACAACTATATCATCACCCTTGGTATAAAATTTACCAAGTTGCTACTCAGCTACTTAAAATATTTGCTATCCCTTGCAAAACTTTACAGGTCTCTCAACACTACTTTTATATAGTCAGTTTTCCCTTAAATGAAGATATATAGAGAGTACATATTTTGACTTTAAAGTTGACAATGTAAATTTGTGAACTTTAAGATTGTTTCAAAATAGTGGTAAGGCTTGCTAAAAGCAAGCCCGTACCTTGAACTTAGCTATGAATTCACCTACAGGAAGTCCAACTTTCATAACTGCCATTACAGGACTGAAGCTCACTGATATTTAGCTCACATATGTTCAAAATGGAACTTTAGAGCTGGAGCATGCCTGGTAAGTGGGAGAGAGCTTAGCTTTTGTCTCAAACTGATGCTTTTTAACCACTTAGTATCAGCAGCCTTTAGACCCATGTGAAATTTATGAATGTTACTCCCCAAACACTTTACTGTTTCATCCTAAGAGTAGTTAGAGCTGCCACCTTGAGGTCTTCACACATGGATGGAGGAGGAGAGCCCAGCTCCCAGTACCTACACTGACCAGTGTTTCTAGATTGTGACCACCTCCTCCTTACCCTGAGCATCACAAAAGAAACAAATGTGCCATGATGAGCAAAATATGTTTCACGTGGCCCTTGCCCACATCCTATCCTCATCTGTTTTTGGATATTGCAATGGTTTCATTTTGCAACTCATTGCTTGTCTGATGGCCTGGCTGTAGCAAATGAATAGGGGATGAGGGAGAGGGTTTTTCCAGTGAAATTTCCTGGAGATTAAATAATGGACAATGTATTGAAATATAAAATGTGACATTCCAAGGTTAAATTGGCATTGATTTATGTCCTGTCTGCACTCTAGTCCTGGACCTCAGTGTGTTGGCTCACTGTAGCTCCTGCAGTCAAATAGCCTCTGCTTCCCAAAGGGAAGACCAGTACGGGCTGTGCATACACTGTCCCTCCCTGTTGTTCTAAAATAAAAGAACCCATGGTTCATGCTCTTGCTCCAGCAATTTTCAAAGAATTGCCCTTTTGACCCCTGTACGAACATTGATTTTTTTTTCCCCCTACAATTTTCCTTATTCATCCAGAGAGAGAAGCTCAGTTATTAGAAACCCCCTTCCCTCATAACACAAGTCAAAAAGGAATAGGGTTTAGAGGGAAGGAGGGCAGGAAGGAATAGAGACAAAGGAGTCAGATCAGAGAAAAATATATGTGTATTTATATGTATTTTGTACACCTACTTGAGGTTGCAAAGAATCAAAGGTAGACCATTTCCCTCTCCATCACAAAAACAATTTGCAAAACAGCTGCTCCCATACTGCAAGATTGTTTGCAAAGAAGCAACAATGCTGAGCATTTTCTTCCCCTTAAGGAAAATCTGCTCATGATCCAGCAAACAGCTCTTCATTGTCTTCAGCTCTGGGGATTTTAATAAAAATTTGATAGGGTCTGTCAACTGCTAAAGCCATCAGACCCAGAGTCCCTTACAACACTCTAGATGGGGAGGGAAAGTGTTATCTGTGAAACCATGTTCTGGCAGATTTTACATTTGATATTGTTTTTAAAGAACCACATTGAAAATGCATAGTTGTGTTATCTTACATCACCACACTCAGTGCAATTTGCAGAGAATCAGTCTCAGCTGTTGGAGATTGATGCTGTGCCTCCCAGCAACCAATTCTAGTGTTCACTTCTCCAAATTGTTGATCCAAAAAAACCAATTTGCTAGCAAAATAATCTGTTTTTCCTTTCAAGTATCAAATCATAACATCATTTTAATATCCACAGACTAGAAAGAACAGAAAAACTCTCTCCAAAATCAAATATTTAAGGCCTTTCCAAGCAATACGTTAAGCCTAGCTATGGCACAGAAAGCAAAGGCTTCCTTGGGGAAACAAGAACAACCTTTCTGGGCCCAAAAATTTCAGATATAAAGTCCTAACTTTTTATCTTCTACTCTCTGTGACCCAAGCCCCAGTATCTTTGAGGAACAGCATGGATTTAAGCAGAGGCAAATGGATTTTTTAATACTGTCTTGACAGAAAACCCTGGGCATCATTTGGTTCCTCTCTTTTTCTCTGTGGCCCACAACATTAGGTGTTTGTGAAATATTTGTCCTGCAAATAACTGAGAGGGTACACTTAGAGTCACCTTTAGGTCTTATTTTCAAGTAAGCACTCTGTACTTTAACTTCATAGCATTGCTAGAATGGAGGGCCACAAACACATCACACATTTGTTGCCTCTTGGCTCCAAGATGAGGTGTTGGGTCCCACTTTCTCCAGCCTCCCTGCCAGTTTTTGCTGCTTACGTTGTAGCAACTTATCTCTCAGAAGCACAAGATATTATTCCTGTGTGCATATCTCTGTCCAAATTTCATAAGGGCACATACATGCTAAATTAAGCATCCACCCTAATCCAATATGACATCATCTCAAGAATTAGGACTTCAACATGAATTTGTGGAGGGAGAGACACAATTCAACCCATAACAGACAACCTGGTTTGATTTTTTAAAATTTTGTTTCCCCTCATGTTTAGGATTTTACAGCAAGTCCCCCAAACTGGGTAGATTTTTAATGATCCCAGCTACTGGAAGCTAGCTCTTGTCCTTAGTCTTTTTTACTAAACTGAATCTAGGAAATGACTGATATTTGAGTCTTTGGAGTACAGAGGAATGGCCATCTCCTGTGGTTCAAACAACACATTAGTAAGTACACTCCTTTTTTTCCAGAGAAGGACCTATGTAAATAGCTTCAAGCTACTCCTGACTAGAAGACCCAAAGTTCCAATCACAATTCCCCACAAGAGAACAGTGGACTTACTCTGACATCTCAGAATATTTTAAATGGGCAGGTAGATTAGCATTTCCCACACAAACCTCTACCCTCACACTTCACCACAGCAATGTTTAAACAAACACATTCAAAACTGTCTATGATATTTATTCAAAAGATTTACAAGAACCCTTCAAATTACATGACATCGAGGTTCAAAAAACCTAGTAAAATTGGAATAGTATCTGAGGCAGCCACAGATTCCAAAAACACAAGATGCATGTCTCTTATGATTTCTGTAGAGCCCAGTAGTTGTTGCAATTAGCTTGGAAAATGCAGAGAGGGTAATCGCACATGTCAAGGAATATATCTACTGAACAAGTTTGAATCTGCCTTGAATATTTTTAACCCAAAAGTGGAAACAGTTCTGAAAGTCACCAAGGGTCCTTGGTAAGATGTATTTCCTGGCCTAGCTACTTAATGAAGCAAATATATGGTGCTCTGCTAAGCAGTAAATGACCCTGTTGTTTTTCTGGGTGTCAAAGCCATCAGAAAATCAACATTTTAGAATAGAGCATATGTATAGAATAATATGAACTGGTGCTGCAGAGATTTTTTTTTTTCATCCTAACTGCAGTGTCGCTGATGTCCTTATCATGGTTCAGAGGAACATTCCCAGTTCTCAAATAAAACAAGTGAAATAAATAAATAACATTAGATTGATTAAATACCAAATTTAATTACTTATGTATGGAAAATTTACATGGCCATAAATCCTAAAGTAAATGAGACAGATCAAGTGTTTATGTCTGGAGTTAAGATATGGGAGGAGATCGTGGAATGTTAAGGAGACAAGAAGGGGAGTCCCATGATGAGGACAGGATGACTTCTTATACCAGGTGTTCTAGATGCTTTCCCTCCCTTACCATAGCTTTCTCTGATAAAAAGGTTATTTCTGGGGATGAGCCTAAATCTGGGTAGTCTTCATTCTTTAAGGTTTAGTAATATTTTCTACAGTGTTCACAGTGCATTGTTGACCTTTTTATTATAGTGATGTGTTTTGGGAAAAACCATTTTGGATATCTTAGAAAAAGCCCTATCTGAATATTCTTGGGGAGGCCAATCCTACATTTTAGATTGTTGGAGGATAAGATGGGGAAACGATTGGATATCAAGGTGTTATATTGGACTGTGCTCCATCAGATGCCCTTGGGTGCTGTTGTGCTCTGCAACCTAAGAACATACAGTTCCCACTCTAACTACCATTTCTGGGTAACTCATATCTTAGACAGAAAGCATGTTCCAGCTTCCCTAAGAGCTCCCGGCCTGACCAAGGATAGATGCTGAGGGGTTGTACAAACTAATTGGTTTCAAGCCCAAATGACTTGAGATTTCAGGAAATGCCCAAAATTTATGTTTCTATGCAAGTTGCATCTAAGGAACCTACCATTTTAAAAATGCTGGTTCTTGGTGTATGTGTGCCTATATCTTGACATTTCATAGTTTGTTTTACAAATATGTCTTTGTAATCATTCATAGCTCAGGATTTTGAGAATACAGGTTTTATTTCCAACCTACTAACCATCTCAAATCAAAGCTAAATAAGAAAAATGATAGACCATCTGTCACAAGACCAATAATGAAAACCATTATTTTTAATTGGAGTAGCATGATTAACTTAAAAGGCACATTTAAAATGTCAGACCACAGCAATAATGTTCTGAATGGGTATTCTTGTTAAACCTTTACATGCTTTTTTTCCCTACTGACACATGTATTTTTAATTTAAAAAAAAAGCATAAATTATAATCATTGGCTTATTTATTCAATAAGCATCTACTGAGTGCTTGTATATGTTGGGTACTGCACATCAGGCAGGCAGTCAAGCTCAGGTCTTCATGAAGCTTACATTTTAAGCACAGAACTTTTTAAACACAAAAATAAAAATGTCTAAGTATTATGAAGGAAACATACAGCTTCCAATGATCAAATATTAGAGAGAAACCTGTCTGGGAGACCCACAAAAGGTTTTTGTGTATGACATTCACAGTAGCGGAGACCTAAGAGATGATTAATTACTAGCGAAGCAAGAGGTGAGGATGTAGTGGTGATCGAGAAGGTGAAAGATCTTGAGTCATTATCCCTGGAAATTCTGAGGGAGAGCTGTGGCTAAGACGATGCTAGATGGGGGAAAATGATCTGGCTATGAATATTTGGATGGCTCTGCTAAACATTAGAAGGAAGGAAATTAGAATATATTTAGAGATATCTCTTGGACCTTGCACAGAGGATGGTGTGTATGTAGAGCAGGAGTAGATTATAAAGGTCCTCACAATGCTGGAGAGCTTCTGCCGGGTCCTGGAAAACAAAGTGTGGCTTGCCCAGAATAAGGGCACTTACCAGGAAGAACAGAGATTTTTGTACTGGGGCATAGACAGGAAAGAAATTCAAGAACTCAGGTTGGAGGAGGAAGAGTTCTATGGGAGGGAGAGAATGAATTTCGCTTTTCTTTCTTTCCTTGATCTTTTTTATTATAAAATGAAATTATTACTCATTTTAGATATACATTAGGAAGACATACATTAGGAAGAAATTATCACTCTCCCACTTTTGGACTAACAAATGTTAACAGTGTGATACAATTTTCTCCTCTTTCTCTCCCATATATGTGTGTGGGTTATATTTTTTAAGTTCAGTTTTTGAACTTGTTGTGTATGAATCACAAGTAAATGTATCAAGTAGACAGATCTATGGGTCAAAACTCGGATAGAAAATGAATGCTAGATTTATAAATTTGTCTGTCTTGTGTAGATGATACATAAGCCACGGGGCAGATAATAGAGTCTGCAGAAATGTTGATTACAAGAGAAAAGAATCTGGACAGAGTCCTGAGAGACTCCTTCCTGTACCAGTTAGGTGAAGGAGGAGGATGAGAGGTCAGAGAGATAGGAGAAACCAGGAAAGTGTGGTGTCATACAATTTAAGAATGACAAGTTTAGTCAGGAGGTCACTTAATGGAAATTCATTAGATGGCACACTGAAAATATCACTGGAGTGTCCTATCAGTGGAGTGTGAGGGCCAGAGTCTGCTCACTGTGAGCTTTGGAGTAAGCGGGAGATGCCTCGGTAATTTGAGACCAAAAATTGCCTGACAAAGCTAACCAGTCAAGGAAGAGTTCTATCATGGTTATTGCAATAGGAAAAAGAAGCCAGACCTCAGCCTGAGCTCAAATCTGCTGAAATGAAGAGCTAGAGAGTTTTTCTGTGCTATGTGAGAGAGAGAACAGAGACTTTATGTTAATTGACTTTATGCAAGGGAAAAGTATACTGTCTCATATCTTTGGAGTAGGAGGAAGTTTTACCAGTTGGAGGAAGGCACCCACTAAAATTAGGCTTCTACTTCCAGAGAATGGGAAAGAGGACCCATCCTCCTTGATAGTTGCATTCCAAGGAAGGGCTCCCATCCTTCAGAAAAACTCTTCTGGGTTGTGAAGCTGGGAAGAAGCTTTTAAGAGAGTTATTTTTCATAGGAGCCGAGAATGAATTTACAGGTTTTTGAAAGTAATAATTCTAAAAAAGGGAGGTCTAGTATCTGGAGTCCAAATAAACTCACCTGAAGTTTATTCAAACTGAGGACAACCTTAAGGCCTTCATGGTCAGTAGACATCAAAAACATTAACCTTTAGGAACAATGTCCATGAAAAGGAGAATTGTACCACTTTACCTACGTTTTATTTAACAGATTGGCCAGATCCACCTACTGGCAGTAGATAATAAGAAAAATTTGCTAAGCCAAAGGCTTGGAATCAGAGGACTGATGGAAGAAAAAAGACACCAGAAGACAGTCACTGACTACAAGTATGACATGGCAGATTTGATGGTAGACATTTTAGTAATAAGTATCTGAGAACTTGTTTTTTTTTTTGATCATCTTAGAGAAAGTGGAATCCAAATTTGTGTTCTGAAAACAATAGAGCAGATTTGATAATGGGAAGAGCCGACAGACAGTAAAGAGGGACCAAATGAGATTCCTAGGTGAATCTGAAAGTAATAGGTAGCCCCTGGAGGTGTGATCTTCCTCCAGAGTCATCTGCTGGGGAGAAGTTCAAGAGAAGAGAGTTTCCAAAGTAGGAGTTTTTCAGGAATATTTAACAGAAAGTGAGAGGAGCAGATGTGATTAAAATGGTATCCATTTAAAAGCAAACAAAAAAAGAAAAAAACGGGCTCTCCCTGGTGGTGCAGTGGGTAAAAGCATAGCACTAAGAAGCTAAAGTCACTTCAGGATGAGTCTGATCCCTGCCCCGGAGGTGACCCACAGGGCATGGCAGACCTCTCCTGACCCGCCTGCTGCTCCTCTCAACAATGTACTTAATCAGTTGGTCTGTTCTGCTCCCCACTCTGTCTCTGGTGAATCCTCTCACCACCCCCGTACCTCTGACCTACACCCCAGTTCTGTATGTGTAAATACATTAAAAAAAAAAAAACTAGGAAAGCAAACTATCTGACTAATTTTTACGTAGGGACTGAATACATCAAATCAATAAACTTCTGTTTTGTCTTATGTTTACCTAGGGAAATATTGGTGACCATGGAGCTGGTGGCCTAAAAGGAGCAAAGGTAATCAGATTTTCAAATGAATGAAATGTTAGGGGTTTTAAGCCATTTCATGCATTTACTTATTGGGGTAGCCCCTCCAAGCATGGGGTTCTGACCCTCTGGCCCTGGCGTGGCCGCTGACTTGTAGTGGGCACAACCCCCACCCCCCCAACCCAGGCCTAGGGTTGGAACATGTGACAGAAGCAGCCTCAGTGAAGACTGCTAAGTAGCGGCTGGCTACACGTAGCAAATCAAGGGAAAATAGCTGTGACAAGGTAAATGAAATTAGAGCACAAGCTTCAGTTTATAATTAGATGTTTCATGAATCTGTAGGTGGTGAAAACAATCTGAAGACCCCTTTGGCAAAATGCCTCAGGTTCTGGTTCAATTTTTGTGTGTCTTATGTAAGAGCTCAAACACAAGCTGTGATGGGGACATTTTTTGGGTGGGGATTATAGTGATTTAATCCAATAACTATTTCACAACAGTTTTAGAATTAAAATGCTGATGGATTTCCATTGCATTCTCATTTTCATCATTCACAGGGTTAATTATATTAACTGTGAAGATGAAGATTAACTTACCCACTCAAAAAGATGTTTCACTTCAATTTGAGTCTGAAATTGTGATGACCTGGGATTCAGTGTGAATTGTGCCATTGTCAGGAAAATAAAACAATGCACCTTAAATCTATAGACAGAGATGAGTAAGTTTGAAAATAGTGTGAGAGAATGTGGCCTGTGAGTGCTACCGTCACTCATTCACCGAGGAAAAATTCTCTTGATTGAGAGCAGAGTATTTCAGCATGAATCCAAGAAAATCTAACAACTATGCCTTATAAATCAGTATACCCAATCTATCACCAGAAAATACAAGAAACTTCTTATAGATTGACCATTGAAAATGAAATGTTCTACAATAAATAAATAAAATCTTGACATGCTTAAAAAAAATCCAAAAAATTGATTATACAGAAGTAGCAAGCCATTTATGTGTCTGGTACATTAGCACTAGTTCTTGTAACTGAATAGCTTACAGAATTCCTGCACCACCATCATGAACACATTACATTTTAAGCCATTACTACTGGATGCCTGCAGGCTAAAGGGGAAATAAAGAAAAACCACAAAGCTTGTCACATAGGACAGCTGAGCAAAGAAGAGTGTTGTGACACTTACAAAGTATTTAAATGATGATTCATTTCTTGAAACAAAACAGCTGGCTTCTGTTTTGCTATGTTCATTAGGAAACACATGTTACTTAGGAATTCTTAAGACTTCAGTGATGAGAAATTTGATTCTGAAAAACAGGTGTATTTCAAACTCTGAAGACCTTTCTGTTGCTAAAATCTTTTTTAATTGCTTCAGAATCTTAAGTGGAAATAGAAAAAGCCTGTGACATAACTGTTCCATCTTCCTATCTAAATAAATGACCTCAAAGAGTCTACAGGGGACTGGAGCTGGAGACAGTAGTTGATATAAATGTACATACAAAATTATTTTAAGAATTGCAATTCTTAAAAGGAGAAAGACTGCCAATAAATAATGCATAAAATAAACTAACCAATGTAGGCATAGCAGTTGCTGGAAAAGTGACATCACCTCTGCCCATGTACATCTCTTTAATATCTGTTCTGATAAATACATTAGTTTTTAAAATTATAGTGTTCACGGGTCACCACAGTGGGAATATAGAGCTCCTTCAAGCTGTTTCCACAGATCTTGCTTGTACCTGTGATGAACCCCAGTGGTCTGAACACTGACTGCATACTGGAGTCATATCTGGAGAGCTTTTGGGAAATACCAGTGCTTGGGCTCCATCCCTAGAGACTGATTTGAAGTCTCTGATTAATCTAGGATGGATCTGTATCACTGTTGTTTAAAATACTTCAGTTGAGGGCCCTCCCTGGTGGCACAACGGGTTAAAGCACTGCACTAAGAAGCTTAAGCCATTTCCGCATGAGTTCGATCCCTGCCTGCCCTGGAGGAAATCCACATGGTGCGGCAGACCTCTCCTGACCCGTCCGCTGCTCCCCTCAGCAGTGTACTTCATTGATCTGCCTGTTCTGCTCCCCACTCTGTCTCTGGTGAATCCTCTCACCCACTGCATCTCTGGCTTGTACCCCAGTTCTGTATGAGTAAATAAATAAATCTTTAAAAAAAAAATACTTCAGATGACTCTAATACCACTGAGTAGTAGAAAGATCATGGACTTTGGGGTCAAACGTTAATTGTGCCATCAACACTTATGTCTCCTTGGGGATACCACTCTATTTCTCTAAGCGTCATTGTACATATTGGTAGCTACAAAGAGAATTGAGGGCAGATTTGAATCAAATGAAATGACCAGAACACAATGTTTGACACACATTAAGCCCTCATGAAAGGTTTGCTTTTTCCATTCATCCACCCAAACTTTCTTTCCTTTAACAAGATCTTCTTTATCTCTTTTTGATATTCATAGTTACTTGTTACCCCCTTAACACATGACCTTGCTCTTCTTTGCATATCCCACCATAATTTTGACAGAAAAGGGAATCAGTTTATGTTGTAAAATAAAAGATTTAACTAAAAGTACAATTTAAGCACATAAATGACTTATTATTGTTGCATACTACATCTCTTTTTTTTTATTATTAAAAAGTTTATTTTTACATCATTTTGCACATTTTTTTTTCATCTCAATTGTAATCCCCACGGGTTTCCCATCACCAAA